TATCACGGAAGCAGAGATGCGCGATCGCTACCTCGAGGGGTTGAAGCCGGACATAGCGGAAGTCATTGCGATTCACGGGTTGTCCACCTTCGAGTCGGTAGTCGCAGCAGCAGAACGCGTCGACGCAGTACGAAGCCGACGGGGTCGTGACGATCGCGATAGGGGATACAACAGACCGATCAACGACGCTCGATCGAGGGACGGACCATCGCCCATGGAGATTGGTGCAGTTAACAGTGACGGCTCACAGAAAATGGGATTTAGGGGGAACTGTCACTACTGCAAAAAGCCGGGACACATGAAACGAGACTGCCCACAGCTTAAGGAGCGGCAGCAGGGAAACGGAAACCGCCAGTAGATAGCGGGTCGCTAGCTGGTGTGGAGGTTCCCGTACCCGCCACGTCTACCAACGTAGAGGAGACGGCTTCGCAGCAGTCATCTACGGAGAACGAGGTAGACACTGTTGATCGTCCAGTCGTGCTTCTAGGGAAGCTTCGCGGAGTTCCTGTTAAGATTCTCGTAGATAGCGGAGCTAGCCACTCGTTCGTCTCTTCATCGTTAGTTTCTCGTCTCCATCTCGAAGCAGATTCAGCAGTCAACTTCAAGGACGCTCGCATGGTAGATGGGACGCCACTTCACATAGGACCGATCATCCGCAAGTTGCGCGTAGTGCTAGGACCGATCACAGTCAGGCGTGATTTCGACTCTGCGACGCTGGACGGATACGATTTTATCTTCGGGAGAGATTGGCTACGGGCGGTTAGTACTCAGTTCGATTGGGCTCAGGGAAGCTGCAGCGTCAAGGTAGACGGGGAGTTCCGGGAGCTGCCACAGTGGAGCGATGGGGCCACATCATCCACAGCTATCATTAATGCTGTTCGTGTGCGACAGTTAGTGAAGCGTGCGGCACGGATCTTCGCGGTTTTTCTTGAGGAGGTGGAAGTTGAGGAAGGGAAAGGAGGGAGTGCAGCAGTTAGTGAGAAGGCGACTCTTCCTGCTGAGGTGAGTGCACTGTTAGCAGAGTTCGCAGACGTCTTCCCCGACGAGTTGCCCCCAGGGTTGCCTCCCAGCCGAGCAGTAGACCATCGAATAGGATTGGAGCCGGGGAGCAGGCCAGTAGCGAAGCCGTAGTGGAGGTTGAGTCCAGCGGAGACAGAGGAGATGACGCAGCAAGTTAGGCACTTTCTCGCACAGGGTTTCATACAGCCATCTAGATCGCCTTGGGCCGCACCGATACTTTTGGCACCCAAGAAAGACGGAGGGTTACGGATGTGCATAGATTACCGCGCACTGAACGCCGCCACCGTCAAGAATAGATTCCCGGTGCCGAGAGTAGAGGATCTTCTCGATGCAGTGCAGGGCGCTAGAGTCTTCTCAAAGATCGACCTTTGTTCGGGTTACCACCAGATTCGAGTACTTCCAGAGGACCAGCACAAGACGGCGTTTCGTACGAAGCAGGGGTTGTACGAGTTTAGGGTTCTACCGTTCGGATTGACCAACGCCCCAGCGACGTTTCAGACGCTCATGAACACAGTCCTCTCCGAGTTCCTAGGGTCGTTCGTTGTCGTTTACCTAGACGACATCCTAGTGTTCTCTAAGACGAAAGATGAGCACGTGCAGCACTTGCAGAAGGTCTTCGAGGTCTTACGGAGGGAGCAGTTATACGCTAAGCAGTCGAAGTGCGAGTTCTTCCTTCCAGAGGTCGAGTTCCTGGGACACGTCGTATCCGCTAGTGGCATTAGGACTGACCCGAAGAAGATCGCAGCAGTACAGGATTGGGTAGCACCGACCTCAGTCAAGGAGTTGCAGAGCTTCCTCGGTTTTGCGAACTACTACCGTCGTTTCGTTCAGGGTTACGCATCGATCGCTAGTCCACTCACCGACCTACTTCGGAAGGGCGTAGAGTACGTTTGGGGTCCAGCGCAGCAGCAGGCGTTCGAGCAGATGAAGCAGTCGCTCACGTCCTCACCGACACTGTCGTACCCTGATCCCACTCGCCCATACGTTGTAGTGACCGACGCTTCCGATCAGGCCATAGGAGCAGTGCTTCTTCAGGACCAGGGACGCGGGTTGCAGCAGATCGCGTACGAGTCGCGTAAGCTTAGGGGAGCGGAGTTGAACTATCCCATACACGACAAGGAGGCGCTCGCGATCATCCATGCGTATAAGGTGTGGAGGTGCTACCTAGAGGGGGCAGATAGTGTTATACGCACGGACCACTGTTCGCTTCGTTTCCTCAAGTCGCAGCCGCAGCTGAGTCGTCGCCAGGCTAGGTGGATGGAGTTCATGGAAGGGAGCTTTCACTACAGGATAGAGTACAAGCCAGGCGTGCGCAGCCCAGCAGATCCGCTCACTCGCCCTAGTTGTCAGCTCGCCAGTCTCACAGTCACTGCTGGCCACCCACTTCTCACAGCACTCTTCGAGCACGGTTACACAGTAGATCCCGACTTCACACCGCAGCCGCCCGCAGGAGCAGAGGTGCAGGGTAGTGTCTACATACGGAAGGGTACCACACGGATTTGGGTTCCAGCCTACCGCCCTCTTCGACAGCTCCTTCTCTCAGAGGCGCACGACGTAGTTAGTGCAGGGCACTTCGGAGCAGATAAGACGGCTAAGACGCTTAGTCGCACGTACTACTGGCCCGGGCTTGCAGCAGACGTAGAGGATTACATTCGCTCGTGCGACACATGTCAGCGTACGAAGTCCTCTCACCAGCGCAAAGCAGGACTCTTGCAGCCGATCTTACCGCCCGACCGCCCTTGGCAGGTAGTTACCATGGACTTCATCATGGCTTTACCGCGCACAGTTAGGGGTCACGACGCCATCTTCGTAGTAGTGGATAAGTTTTCTCGAGCAGCGCATTTCATCCCCACGCACGGCAAGGTCACAGCAGAGGAAGCCGCGACGCTGTTCGTAGATAACGTAGTCCGACTGCACGGGGTTCCAGATTCCATCATCTCAGACCGCGACCCTCGTTTCACTTCGAAGTTCTGGAAGCAGCTTTTCGCACTGTTTGGGACTCGCTTAGCCATGTCGTCTGCGTACCACCCAGAGACAGACGGACAGACCGAGCGTGTGAACCAGACCTTGGAGCAGATCCTTCGCAGCATCACGATGCACGACGCAGCCGCATGGGACAAGAAGCTGAGCATGGCAGAGTTCGCCTACAACAACACGCACCACTCCGCCACAGGCATGTCACCGTTCTTTGCACTTTACGGTCAGCACCCCAATGTCCCCACTCGTGTCGATCTCACACCCACAGTCCCTCGTGCGGACAACTTCCACCAGCATCTCACCTTCATTCATGATCACGTGAGGAAGCACCTTGAGCTTGCAAATGCACGCATGGCACGCACCACCAACCGCAGTCGTCGTGAGGTGTCGTTCGCAGTCGGCGACCGTGTTCTCTTGGATAGCCGCAACCTCCGACTGCCACAGGACAGCAAGCTTCGTCCACGTTTCATTGGTCCATTCGTCATTGAGCGCGCACTAGGTCCAATCGCATACCGCCTTTGCCTTCCCGCACATTTCCGCATGCACCCGTCATTCCACGTGTCTCTCCTTCGCCCATACACCGATCCCAATGCCACCTTCTCGGGCCGTGATCGCACTCCACTGCCGGTAGCTGTTGACACCGACGAGCCCGACTACCAGATCCAGCGCATCCTCAGGCACCGTCGCCGTCTCCAGGGGGGTGTCACTTTCATCGACTTCTTGGTTCATTGGCGTGGTTACGACGCAGCAGACGACAGCTGGGTTCCTTCGTCCTCGTTGTCTCCTGACAACGCTTGCCTCCAAGCGTACCTTCAGTCTGCAGGCGCCGCGGACGTCGCCTCCTTGGGCGGGGGGTAGTGTTAGAGGGGTGTGTACTGTTCATTCCGAACAGTACATTCCTAGTCACCATTATCCTTATCTTCTCAGATTCTCTAGTGCCACGTGGCACTCTACTTTTCTTGCACTCCAATTCTTGGTCCCACATTCCACTTTCCAACCTTGTTTCTTGCATGCTATATAAACCTTGCTTGTACTTGCCATTATCAATCAATTCTCATTCAACTCTTCTTCAATTACTCAGTAACTTCTTCGCCTATTTCGCCAATAGTTCTTTCGCCAAAGTCTTCCGCCGCGTTTCATCCTCGACTTAGTCGACCCCGCTAATTCTTTAGCGGACTTAGGCCGTCGGGCCTAACAGTTTTTGTTTTTCTACATTTTTTTCCTAATACCACTCGTACAATATGGAGAGCAGGTGGTTGTCAGAAATGCCTGTCGTGTTTGCTGAAACAATCTCGTCGTGCTCCTCCTGATTCCTGATGCTTCCACTGCCAGCGCATGTGTGTGACGGTTCTTTGAATTCGTGTCTCTCTGCGCTTGGGATCAGGGGTTGTCGGCGAGCACCATGCCAAAAGCGTATACTTCAACTTTCGCACACACCTTCTTGCCTATCGCAATTTCCCTGCCGAAGGGTTACGTGTAGTGGTGGAGGCGCGGCTCGTGATGTCCCGCCTCTGTGCTCTCTCACACAAAATGTGCGATCCGTTGAAATTGACTCAAGATAGAAAAGTTGTCGGCTGTCTTCAGCATCACGGCTCCACGCATCATCACCAGACTCAAAAAGCTCACCTCGTCACTCGTTGATAACCTGACTAACATTTTCAAATTCCATAATTGACAGGATCAGTCATAGCTGCTCAATAGCCCTGTGCATAGTCCACCGTTTTGGTCCAGTTTCCTAAGCAGATTAGCGGCGAAAATAGAAGCTGTCGAAATCGAGTGTCTTGGTCATCCGTTTTCGTTCCTCGTCCTCCGCAACTCAGTTCCAATGGACCATCGTGTAGGTGCGTCGGCCTTCCACTTCTCTCGTTGATTGGCTTCATTTCCTGCAAACGAAATCGATCGGCGATATTTCTATCCTGACGCACGAAACCATTCGCATCCTCCTCTCCCTCCCCCTCTATCCCCGCCCTTCCGCCCCTTTTTGATCACTATCGACGCCGCAGGCTCGCTTGCGGTTCTATTACTCCTGTCAGCTACCGTCCCTCTATCGCAATCGTGGCTCGTTCGATGCCCTGCGATCTTCAGCAACCCCGTCGTCAGTAAGTTCTGCGACATTCATACTCCGCAATGCTTCCCGAGTATGGTGACACTCAACAACTCCCTTCAGTTCCAAACCGCACAACCAGCACAGTCACCGTATTGGTGTCTGCTTTGATATGTGTTTGCTACGTATGTATGTATTCTACGTTTCGTCTATGTCTATGTTTATTTGTTTGTTCGCGCCCGTTATTTTATCATTTGCCTGTTCTAAGTGCTGGCCGTTGACTCTACTGGATTGCAGGCGTTATCCAGGCGACGATGCGAGGCGACAAGAAGAAGGCCGATACAACGCAAATGGCGGACGGCACACTAAAGATTACTGTATTCTCGTAAGGACCTCCTCTATATTCTCGCGACACTTGTAAACATCTTCCATTCCCCTGTGGTAATCCGCGTTCTGTCTGACGTTTCCGTGCCTCTCTTGTTTCCTCACTTCAACGAAATAAAACCCGCGGGAATCACCCAAATGGTATGGCACACCCTTATGCTGGCAACCCCGTTCCACCTTCTACCCTCTACAGGAGCACCAAGGGCACGGACGTCAAATTCGAGCTCACCTCCAACGATCTCTACTTTCCGCTCTTCAAAACTCTCAACTACGGCCCCGCGGGAGCAACCGGCGATGCTATTTTGACCATTCCGGGCACGCCCACGATCGCGCTGCGCGCCGATGGCATCACGTACAAGTCGGTCGGGTGGATCAAGCAGGCGGATTCCGCCAAGGCGAGCAACGGGCAAACGGTTACCAACGTTTTGAAGCAGCTTGATATAAACCCCGCCAACTATTACGTGCAAGTGTCGGCGTTTAAGTTCCTGGGCAACATTCGCGGGCAGCTGCAACGAGGAATGTTCGTTCCTTGCATGTCGGTATGACCAAGGCCACACGACATGAGATGAGAGCAGTACAGAAGGGGGTCTGGTAACGGTGAATGGAGGGACACTGGCGACATATTATTTACGGGAGAGACGGCGAGAAGCTGAGAAGAGAACGAGTTCTGTTTCCAGCGAGCAGCTGCCTCCAACGCATAGTAAACTATTGGAGTTATGTTTTTGGGGCATGTATCTTCTACATGGCTATGTTCTATAACTGATGCTGTCATACAATATACATACACGATTTCTACTACTTTGAATGACACCACAAAATGGATGCCGAAGCTTTCATCAATGTAGTCTTATCAAGGTATAAGCAGAAGGTATTGTAAAAAACTTATTGCTAAGCAATTTTCAATCCCTGCCGTTTCGGTGCCCCTTCTCAATCTGACCACAAGCAGGCTCGACCTCTATTCCATCCGCGTTCATGATGCATAACTAAAGTATATTAGTGAGACGTAAGGTGGTGATGTTGTAAGGTGGTGATGAAAGGTGGTGTGTACTTAAGTTTAGCATAGGTGGATACTTAACTGACTCGGTACAGTGGCATGCAAATCCCAAACTGGTTCACACCGACCCAAACCATGGTGGTTCAGTGGGCGAGTGGGTCCCCTTGCCACCAGCTGTCGTGTCGTCTTGTTGAGAAGTTCGTTTCATTTGTGAGTGCGTTTGGTGATCTCCGTTTCCTACTTTGAGTAGGGTGATTGGCCACTCCCACAGCCACATCTCTCAAATGTGGGAGTAACTGCGAATCGTATCGTCGTACACATGATGCTCACCCCCTGCACGCAAAATTGCCTTGTCCCAGATGAAACCTTGCACCCGTGGGTTTTGTGCCGTGAGGTTGCACCCACGTTACAAGCATGTCCACCAATACGAACCACAGAAACTGAAGTCTGACTGAATAGGCTGCAGTAAAAAAGTCAACGGTGAGCTACAAAAGTTTTTATAAGCCCTTTTTGCCCCAAGCGAAAAAACGAAACCTCCGCGAAATGCAATAACGGCTTATAAGCCCAGAAGGTGAGGCAAGGTCGGAGAGCTCAACCGGGCATCGTGTGTACACCGCCGACCGACCAAAGCATAGCATGGATGGCAGCCCTGCCCACACCTTCAAACAGCTTCGTTTGACCGAGTCAGCGCAACGAGAACAAACGAGCGCGAAGTTGGGAGTTGACGCGGTCAAAATTTACACCGCGGCGAGCCAATAGCGTGGTACACCTGATGCTCACCCCATGCGCGCGAATTTGCCTTGCGCCGGATGGACACGCTGCACCCGAGGTTGTTTCCCCAGCTTCATGCACCCACATTACAAGCACGTCAAGCAGAAGAGACCGAAGTCAAGCAGAAGAGACTGAAGTCAAACTAGGTAACTAGGTAGCAGGGTCTTGTTTATAAGCACATGCGAGTTCTTTTTAGCTAGCTGCGAAATTGACGAACTTATGCGAAACGCACGATACAGCTTATATGCCCCCTTCACAAGGCAACCGGGAGGGGCTCAAACAGGCATCAGGAGTAGTACTATGCTGCCCTTGTTTCCCTAGAAGAAGCTTCTTGCCTGAGCATCTTTCCGCGCATGACCCGCAGGTGAGCTGGTTTGACGGCCGGATCGAGTGCGCGAATGGCATCACCACGCGGCTTGAAGTTGTCAACTGTGAGCTGTCATCCTCGCTTCGGTGATCGTTTATTGGTTGAAACGAAACGTGTTGCAGCAGTCGACTCCACTGCATCGCCATGCCACCGACAAGAACCATCATCCTCCCCCCAACCCTTCCCTCCCCCCTCCCCCCTCCCCTCCTCACTCTCCCAGGTTCAAAATTCCCCCAAGCCAGCTTTCAATATCTGGCGGAAGGCGCGCTGTCGACCTAGCACAAGGGAAAGGGGATCGAGGAACGAACAAAACCACAGGAGAAGGGACGGGACGGGAAACGCGTTTACCCCTCCCCTACGTTCCCCCCTGGCCACCGACGTTTCTCTTCCCAGTCGTCGGTTTTTGAACCAGATTGCTTGAACGACTGCGCCTGGTGTTTCCCCGGCCGCTTCCCGAGGCGCTGATTCACTCGCGCGAGAGCGCAGGGCCTCGCCTGGCAGGGGTACTCGCGCTGCGCTATTTTCAAACGCACCCAGCCGCTACACTCCAAATCGTGCAATCGGCTCGTCCTCCTCTCCCCCACCCACCCACCCACTGTACCCCCAGTGCCACACCCACCACCATCCTCCCCGACCGAACTGCAACACCGTTACTACGAATAGACAGATGCAGTGCTTCATTTTCCATCACTCCATCCAACCCGATAATCGTTCGGCTGAACAATCCATAGCTTGCGGCACAGAAAAAAGCTCGATCAACGCAACTTGTTTGGCTAGAAAGGCTTCCGTCGTTTTCAGGTACCTCAAGCTGCTCGGACTCTACTCCGTGACTTCTCCCGCACAACCATCCACCCCGTTCGTCGCTCTCAGCTCTCCACATACAAACCCGCGCATACCTCTGTGACATGCCAACCACGCCTACCACCTCCTCAATACTCGCACTCACAGTCGTCAAACTTTGCTGGCCAGACAATCTCCGAGTCGCAGCCATGGATCGCGAAAGCCTCGAAGTGCTCCCCGCGAGCGAGCTTTCCGCGCGGTACGAGCTGATTGACATGCTGGGCGAGGGGCAGTACGGCACGGTGTGGCGCTGCGAGGAGCGCGACTCGGGCCGCCTCTTCGCGTGCAAGCACATCAGCCTCACGGGCCTGGGCGAAAAAGGGATTAAAGCCGCCGTTCGCGAGATTGAAGTCATGGCGACGCTCTCGGGTAACCGCAACGTGGTTTCGCTGCAAGGGATTTACGAGGACGCGGACTCCGTTTATGTTGTTATGGAGTATTGCAATGGCGGGGATTTGTTGAACCTGATTCAAAAGAAAGGCCTCTTGCCAGAAATGGAAGCCCAGAGGCTGTTTGTCGAGGTGACACGTGGCGTGAAGCAGTGCCACGACAACGGCATCATCCATCGCGACATCAAGCCCGAAAATATCCTCCTCGTCCCCGGAACCACCGCCGCATCCGCCGCCGATACACGCGCTGCGAGCCCCACCCCCGCGCCCAAGCACCCCTTCACCTCGCTCCAGCTCAACCCGCTCCGCGCGCGATCGCGCTCCGCCTCTCCTCCCGCTTCCCCCTCCGCCGCCTCCGCTTCAACCACCATGCCCTCCGCGAAGCTCGCGGACTTCGGCCTGTCGCTCGCGCTGCGGCCGGGGCAGCGCGTGGTGGGGTACGCGGGGAGCTTCCCGTACGAGGCGCCCGAGGTGCTCGCGAATAAGGCGTACGACCAATCAGCGGACATCTTCAGCCTCGGCGTGACGCTCTACGCGATGCTCTCGGGCACGTGGCCCGCCTTCCACCGCTCGCGATGCCTCGACGACGCGGTCGACTGGGAGTTACCATGCTGGCGAAAGGTTTCCGAGGTGGCGAAGGATTTGATTCGCTGGATGGTTTCGCCGCTCCCGCACATGCGCCCGACCGTGGACGAGGTGCTTGCGCACCCCTGGTTCGCGCTCCCCATCGGCTTCCCCGCGCAACCCGCGAGCCCCCGCAGCGTTGTCCGCACCTTCCGCACCTGGCGACGCGAGCGGTCGCTGAAGCAGGAAGAGGAGAGGCAGGCAGCTCAAAAGGAGGCTTCGCAGAAAGTTCGTCCGGTAGAAGATGCTGCGCGCGGCGCGCATGACACTGGCGGTTGTCGCGGCGACCATCGCGGCGACGCTTCCAAAGCCGGACGCGTGGACATTATTGGTTATCAGCGGCCCGTGCTGTCCGTGCGATAAGAAGCCTACAGTGTTACAGTATTACCCTCACGATGACAAAGGCCTGGCGACACGTTTTCTCTGCTAACGATCGTTGGCGAGGACTCTTCGGGACTGTTTAGGGCGAGCTTGAGTCGCCTCAGGCGTCGGAATGGGGAGGAATTTACCCGACTCTGAGGCGCATCAAGCCCGCTGCTTCTCTCACCCACACTTAATTTTCCAAACATCTTGCAAGCTTGTATCTAGGCAGAAATCTGACGGCATGTGTTGGTAAAGTCTCTAGCCTATGTAACCTGTGCATTAGCAGTGGTGACTCCAATTAATTTTGATAAATCTATCAATTCTCAGATTGTAAGGACGTGGTGAAAGTGCAAATATCGCAGGGTCGTCTACATATATCGAGCTCCACAATCGAGTGGGCAGATAGATTAGCGAAACGTGACGACCGCGACGTTGTAACGATCACACCTGAGAACTGGCAGATCTCCCACAATCAGTGATCAGTCACATTTACACACTTTACAGAAAAGTTGGCCAAAAAGTGTACTATAGCATGTTTGAGCACGGTAAATAGGGTAACCAATCCGCACATCGATTGCGACTGATGATCGATCGTCTTACTATGAACACGTACATTTATTTACATCAGAAAGCAAAGAGATCTATTCCGAAAGACTGCCAGCTGAATGAGGATTAACATTTCGCATGACTGTTAGGTGTGGGGCAGCTGAACAAGCGCAAAGGCAATTACGGCAGGCGCATGGGCAGCTAGGGCAGGCGCATGGGCAGCTAGGGCAGGCGCATGGGCAGCTAGGGCAGGCGCATGGGCAGTTTGCCGACAGCAGCTGAGATCTGATCCTCTGTGAGCGATGAGAACTCCTCATACAGGTCCAAGAGCGCTGTTGACACTGCCCTCACCTGGAGAGTAATGGGGGGAGGGGGTCGCAAGGGAGGTTGTGAAAGGGTGATATGGATCAATGATGAGGCAGCTGAGATCTGATCCACTGTGAGCAATGAGAACTCCTCATACAGGTCCAAGAGCGCTGTTGACACTGCCCTCACCTGCATTGTGGATGATGAGGGGAGGGGGTAACAGGTGAGGGGTTGACGAGGGAAAGGGGGCGATGAGAATTCTTCATACAGGTCCAAAAGAGATGTTGACATTGCTCTGACTTGCATTGTGGGTGGTGAGGGGTGGGGGTGATGCAAAGGAGGCGATGAGGGAAGGGGGTGATGTGCCAAGGAAAAGAAAGAGGAGAGGATGAGGGGAAGGGTAAGGTGGAGAGCGTATCTGGTGCATATCAGTCCTGCCCCCATCCAGCCATTCAAAACGCACCATCAGTGACCATACCTGATGCACCTCCACCATACCTGACACACCTCCACCATACCTGATGCACCTCCACCATACCTGATGCACCTCCACCATACCTGATGCACCTCCAACATACCTGATGCACCTCCACCATACCTGATGCACCTCCACCATACCTGATGCACCTCCACCATACCTGATGCACCTCCACCATACCTGATGCACCTCCACCATACCTGATGCACCTCCACCATACCTGATGCACCTCCACCATACCTGATGCACCTCCACCATAGCTGATGCACCTCCACCATACCTGATGCACCTCCACCATACCTGATGCACCTCCACCATACACAGTGCATACAAACGCAGAGCCCCTACCCGGTGCATGTCGATGCGCAGGCCCTCGAGCCAGGGCAGGAGGGGCAGGTGGCGCATGAGAGCAACGAGGTGGATGCATGCAAGGGCAATGATGAACGGCGGGTGGCACAGTGACAGGTCCGTCTTGAATGAGTCGTTCACCATTGACCTAAGGGCGATGGGGAATTGTGTGGGGGAGTAGGGGAAGTTACTTGAAAAGCGAGGGGAATGGGGTGCATGAGGGCATGGCGGGTGGCACAGCGATAGGTCCGTCTTGAATGAGTCATTTACCATTGACTTGAGGGATGTGGCAGGAGGGAAATGGGGGGGAGAATGGGGGGGGAGAATGGGGGGGGAGAATGGGGGGGGAGAATGGGGGGGGAGAATGGGGGGGGAGAATGGGGGGGGAGAATGGGGGGGGAGAATGGGGGGGAGAATGGGGGGGAGAATGGGGGGGAGAATGGGGGGGAGAATGGGGGGGAGAATGGGGGGGAGAATGGGGGGGAGAATGGGGGGGAGAGGGGCACGGTGCGTGCAGTGCATGAGGGAACGGCGGGTGGCACAGCTGCACAGCAACAGGTCCGTCTTTAATGAATCATTCACCATTGAGCTAAGAGCAGTGGGGAGAGGGAGGAGTGGGGGGGAGGGGGAGAGGGAGGTGGAGGGAAGGTGGAGTGAGGGGACAGGGGAGGAGAGGAGGGTTTGCGAGGCATGGTGATGGGAATGCGGGATGGAAGCAAGAAGGCGTGAGAGCATGGTGGGCGCGCAAGAGCATGGTGGGCGCCCAAGAGCATGGTGGGCGCCCAAGAGCATGGTGGGCGCCCAAGAGCATGGTGGGCGCCCAAGAGCATGTGGGGATGGCAAGGGGCAGGGAGACAAGCCTGTGGTGAGGCACATGTATGGACTTCACACACGCACTCACACACGCACTCACACACGCACTCACACATGCACTCACACATGCACTCACACACGCACTCACACACGCACTCACACACGCACTCACACACGCACTCACACAAGCACTCACACACGCACTCACACACGCACTCACACACGCACTCACACACGCACTCACACACGCACTCACACATGCACTCACACACGCACTCACACACGCACTCACACACACACACTCACACACGCACACGGCTGTGGCACCCACCAGGCCATCTGAGCCAACTCCTCCTTCACATTCGCAGAGAGGCTTAGCTCTCTGCTCATGCTAAAGCACATCATACACAGACACTCCCGCACTCCCCATGCTCACGTACTCACACACATACTCTCACACAGTTTCACCCACCAAGCCATCTGAGCGAATTCCTCCTTCGCATTCGCAGAGAGGCTTAGCTCTCTGCTGACGTCTTCCAAGTACCTGCCCCGATATCACACCCGTGCCCCATGTCATTATTCACAAGGGAACGGAGGAGTAGGGGCGACAAGCGGACGAGACGTGACAGGAAAGGGTGAGGCGCCAGCAGACGAAAGGCAGAGAGAGAGAACACAAGACACGATTGCGAGCGCAGAAGAGAGCGGAGAGTGGGTGCAGGTCATGAGGGATGCACTGAATGCATGAGGGGTGCACTGAATGCATGAGGGGTGCACTGAATGCATGAGGGATGCACTGAATGCATGAGGGATGCACTGAATGCATGAGGGATGCACGAGGGGGAAACGAGAGAAGAGAGAGAGAAGACGGGCGGTGGAGTCACAGTCACATTCCAGAATTGTCTTAGGTGGGGGGGTACTGACGTGGTGAGGGGGCTGCTCGGGTGAAAGACAAGAAGGAAGCGAGAGAAGAAGAGGAAAGGTGAAGGGATACAGACGCATAGAGGGGTGGTAGGGGTGGAAGACGATGTGGAGCAAGAAGGAGCAAGAAGGAGCAAGAAGGGGTGAGAAGGCAAGAGAACAGACGTGGAGAGAGGGCGGTAGGGGTGGAAGACGATGAGGTTGAAGGAGAGCGCCTGCAGCAGGCGCATCTCCATGGCTAGTACGTCCTTCACCTCGTAGCCCATGGCGCCATGCCCGCACATGCCTGCTGCACACGCACGCATCCACGCACACACCACACACAGAGGGAGCATATTATTATTCATAACTAACAGCAGCAGCCGCATCTCCATGGCTAGTACGTCTTTCACCTCATACCCCATGGCGCCATGCCCACACATGCATGTCGTGCATGTATGATTGCACATGCATGCATGCACATACATGCACACGCATGCACATACATGCACACGCATGCACATACATGCACACGCATGCACATACATGCACACGCATGCACATACATGCACACGCATGCACATACATGCACACGCATGCACATACATGCACACGCATGCACATACATGCACACGCATGCACATACATGCAGCATATGCACACACAGAAGGACAAGCACGCGCAAATGCAATCATCTCAACAATCATAACTTCAAGAATCATGGTTGCAAAGAACATGATATGCACAGCCCAGGCGAGCAGCCCTATCCCACATGCCCTCTCTGTCTCACACGCATGCCTCACTGCTTCACCGCCTGCACAGTGCACTCCTCTGCATCCCTCTCCTCTCCTTTCAACTCTCCCCTCTCCATTCTCCTCTCCACGCTCCTCCCATCTCACACGCGTGGCTCTTCATGCGGTGCACCAGCTTCACAGCCTGCACCGTGCACTCCTCCGCCTTGGCTGCCACGTACAGTGCTGCCGGCGCTGCCAGTCGCGGATCCACCTCCGCAAACGACTTCCTGCTCGCAGGGGGGAGAGAGGGGGGGGGGGGGGGGGGGGGGGGGGAGGATGGAGAGAGGGGGATGAGCAGGGGGATGGGGCAGGCAGGGTTTTGAGTGCTGGCAGCGCTGCCAGGCGCGGATCCACCTCTGCGAATGACTTGCTGCATGGGGTGAGAGGGGAGAGTGGGGAGGGGATGTGGGAGAAAAGAGCGGCTGGTCACAGCTCGGTAAACGACTCGCTTCTTACAGGGTACGGAGGGGGATGGGATGGATGGGGGAAAGGGGTGGAAGAAGGGGGGATGGGAGGGAGGGGGAAAGGGGTGGAAGTGGGGAGTGGCAGGTCTCAGCAAGACCTGAGCATTGCTGCTGGGCGGATCGTCCCCTTGTGAGAATTCTCCAAGGTGACACACCCATCGCCCCATCGCCCCACCACCCCATCGCCCCATTGCCCCGCCACCCATCACCCCCTCACTCAGCGTGCCGTGCACGCACGGCTGGCCACTCACTTGACGTAGACGCGGCGGAAGCAGGCAATGGCCGTGGCCACAACCCTGCCACGCATGGTCCCCTCGTCTCATCCCACCATCATCATCCCATCACCCCACGATCTCATCACTGTGTGTTTTTTTAGAATTCTAAAAAAACACACACTCCATCATCATCCCATCACCTTCTCAAAAAACACACGCTCCATCATCATCCCATCACCTTCTCAATAAACACACACTCCATCATCATCCCATCACCTTCTCAAAAAACACACGCTCCATCATCATCCCATCACCTTCTCAATAAACACACACTCCATCATCATCCCATCACCTTCTCAAAAAACACACGCTCCATCATCATCCCATCACCTTCTCAATAAACACACACTCCATCATCATCCCATCACCTTCTCAAAAAACACACGCTCCATCATCATCCCATCACCCCACCATCTCATCACTCAGCGCAACCGGTGCACGGCTCGCCACTCACTTGACGTAGACGCGGCGGAAGCAGGCAATGGCGGTGGTCACGACCCGGCCACACATGGTCCCCTTGTCCCATCCCACCATCACCTTCCCAACATCCCATCACTCATTGCGCCCTGCACACGGCTTGCCACTCACTTGACATAGACGCGGCGGAAGTAGGCAATGGCGGTGGCCACAACCCTGCCACGCAACAAGAGAAGGCAGGACGTGAGGTGGGCAGGGCGTGAGGTGGGGATGGGCGATTGCGGGAGGTCGAGAGGTGTGAGGGTGGGCGATGGTGACAGCATGAGACAGTGGCACTTAGTCTCACACACTCTCCCCCATGGACTGGCACAAGACACAGTGAACGCAGGAACAATGCAGGGAAACTGTGAGCGATACGGCGTGAGGCGGTGCAAGGTGGTGGTGAGAGGTGGTGTGCTTGCCTCTGGCGGAGGTTGAGGCGGTGAGCCAAGACTGCCAGGTCTGTCAATGAGAGAGGCACAGACGAACGGCGACGAACGGCGAAAGCGGATGGGGGGGAATGGAAGGGAGAGGAATGGAAGGAACGAAGGAAGGAAGAACAGCTGGAGTGAGATGGACGCAAGAAATCATCAGAAACGCATGTTTGTTCGGAAGCATGCACGCATGTGCATGGGATATTACAGACGTACGGTCACACATGTGCAGCTTGACCAGGCGCACGTCAGAGGGCGAGAGGCCCATACGGTCGTCCTCCGCATGCAGCAAGCGCGCCACTGCGCCTGGGTCCAGTAGCTGCTTGCTGGGGGGGATTGGGGGAGGGGAAGGGGAAGGGGGGACAGGGAGGGGGGAATGCGAATGAGCAGCCGCGGGCCGGGGGGGGGGGGGGAGGTGTGGGGTTGGAAGGGACAAGGGTGAGGCGAGAAAGGGGAAGTGGTGGGGAGAGGGGCAAAGAGTTGGGTGGGGAGGAAAACGGGGAAAGCGTGAGAGTCAGACACGAAATGAGGGCGAAGAAAGGGTCGCGGGAAGGAGCAGGGCAGCCAGCAGCGCAGGCTGCAGCAGACGCGTGAAATTAACGGTGGGTGGGGGGTGGGGAGGAGAAAAAGGGGTGCGGGAGAGAGAGGGAAAGAGAGACCATTCGAGGGGAAGAGGAAGAGGGGAGAGAGAGAGAGGAAGAGAGATAACTATCCGAAGTCGTGCTGCGATGTCGCACGGACGTCCCAACGTCGCACCTGTGAGAGGACTGCCAGAAATTGGCCGCCATAAGAACCACTCGCGACTACTGGCGATTGTTGACGACTGTTCGCGACTGTAACAATTGTTGGCGACTGAGGTGATTGTTGCGATTGTTGGCGAGCCCCAAACTACAGCCGTCGGGTGGCGAATCACAGCGGCAGATTCTACTCGGCGCGACTCCGTGGGGTTCTATTCGAACAGCTAAATGGCTCCACCATAGTAACTACGAGTCCGACAGCGCACTGCCCTAGCGTTTCGGAGTTTCCATTACCTTCCGCTAATATTAGCAGCCAGAGCGTTCTTCCCGCCGTGTCTCGATCGCAGCCGCTCCACTTGCTCAATTTCACTTTTGCGAAATGAAGCCGGGAACAGGATGTTGGGTTCGGAGTTGTATGGTAACGTGTACTTCAGGTTCGCCAGTGCGACTAGTCGTTTCGCAGCATTCGTTACTGTACCGCTCTGAGAGGTTCGGAAACTCGAAGGGCAATCGCAGCCTGAAGTCTGAACAATTTCTGGTTCGGCGAAAGTCTGGCAAATCAAATTCCACTCGAACCTCACTCGTTACACAACCCACACGGCGGAACGGGTTCGCGATTTAGCGACATAGATGGTAACCCTAAGCTTGTCTGGTGCTGCATTTGAGCGCGAACTCTTAAAGCTCGTTGACTAGTTTCCACACCTTGTTTTCACGACTCTCTTGGTGGGAATCATTGCCCGAGCACTAGCGGGACTCACGCCGTTACATATCCATCGTTTCTGAAGCTTCACAAGTATACGAAATATCATTTCAAACAACGCATTTCCTCCAAGACGGTTCTAGCGGGTCCGCTCCGAGCGCCGGTATCCTCCGCCACCGCCTGCAACCTTTCCGCTTCCCGTCTCCACGCAGGCTTTCTCTGTCGCCAGTTCCTCTCCGCGTATTTCCCCCTTACGCGCACAAGCGGAGCGATGCCGGGGAAGGACGTCGACGCGCCCGCGGCGGAGCCGATGGAAACGAGCAGCGCGGGCGCTGGGAGCGGCGCGCAGGAGGCGCGGAAGGGGAAGAAGAAGAAGAAGGCGCAACAGGGGGAAGGGGGGAGCGGAAGCCTTCCGCCGCACCTGGAGGAGCTGCGCTCGCGCGTGATCTGCGACATGGACGCGCCGAAACAGGTGCGCGGCGGAGGGGGGATGGGAGGGGTCGAGGGCGGAAGAGTTGCGCGGAAGGTGCAGTGGTTGCGCGTAAGAGGAAGAGAAGCGTGCGTGAGGCAGAACGACCGTTGGGAAGGGCGTTGGCGAGAAACGGGAAAAGGGCTTGGCAAGATCGAGGGTTTAGACGGTTAAACGGCTTAGAGGGATTGGAAGAAATACACAGGTTATTGGTATTTCTAGGCAACGTTGAGGGTTCCCGAGCAGATTCCAAGGGTTCAGGGTTTGTGCCCTGGTCAGGGTTCCGGGTTTACGTTTCTGGCAAGTGGTTAGGGTCCTGGCACAGCGGCGAGCAGATATGGCGCAGAGGGGTGGCTGGAGAGCCACGAGGGCGCGGCACGTGCGGTGCAGGCGAGATGGCACCGTGGATGCTGGTGCTGATGCTGATGCTGGCCCCTCCTTTCCCCCCCTCCCATTTCCGCCTCCGCTTTCATGACCCTCCGTCCCGCTCCGCCTTTCCTCTTCCTCCTTTCGTCCTCCTGTTTCTCCTTCTCCACCTTTCTCCCTTCCCTTGATTCGTCACCCCTTCCCCCTCGCCCTTTTGCATGCACAGTTCTGATCTGGCGTGTTTGCTTTTCTGATGGAGGCGACAGCACAGCGCTTGCAGGCTGCAGCGGTTCAGATGGGTGTAGAAAGGCGAATGCACTTCCCGTCTCCTCCACTCTAACTCTCCCCATTCAACCTCCCGTTCACCCCCAACACAAGCCCACGCTCTGCAGTAATTAGGTGCGTTCGCTCCCCTGGGAGTGGAGTGGACAACAGCATAAGCCTGGAGGCTGCGCGCTGACGGTTAATCCGCTTTGCTTCTCCTTCCCCTCTTTCTTCCCCATCCCCCCACACTCTCCGTTCCCCCCGCCACCTTTTCCTCCTTCCCCCAATGAATCCGCGCGTTGCAGTATTCGGGTGTGTTTGACGCGCTGGGGGTGGACAACAGTATGACTGCATGATCCTGCAGGCTGCAGCGATGCAAAGTGGGGCGTTTCCCCCATTCCAGCATCATTCCTTACCACCTTCTTCCCCCCTTCGCCCCTCCTCCCTCCCCACTGCTGCAGACTCACGCGCTGCAGTATTCAGGCGCCTTTGCCGCGCTGGGCGTGGACAACAGCATGACTCTGGAGCGCTTCAGACGGGAATTGACGGTGGAGATCGTGTCGCAGTCAGCGGACGGCCACGATCTCGTCTTTGACCTCGTCGGCATCGATGCTGCGCTCGCCAACGCCTTCCGTCGGATACTCATCGCTGAGGTCAGCACGCTCGTTGCTGAGGTCAGCATGCTCATTGCTGAGATCAGCACTCTCGTTGCTGAGGTCAGCATGCGCGTTGCTGAGGTCAGCACGCTGATCGCTGATCGTTGTGTGGTGCTCGTCCCATCCCACCCCCTCCCTCCCTTTCCTCTACCTCCCCTCTTGTTCAACCGTGCAGGTACCAACGATGGCGATAGAGAAGGTGTTGATGGCCAACAACACGTCGCTAGTGCAGGACGAGGTGCTCTCGTGTGTGTCGGTCTTACTCCCTCATTGCCCTGTTCTCCCTCTTGCCTTCCCTCCCCCCCTCATGCAGGTACCAACGATGGCGATAGAGAAGGTGTTCATGGCGAACAACACCTCTCTAGTGCAGGACGAGGTGCTCTCGCATCGCCTCGGCCTCGTGCCCATCGCTGTCGACCCCCGCCTCTTCGACTTCCCCTCAGGTGATTCTCAGGTGGCCGCTCAGGTGGTCCCCAGGTGGGCGCTTTTCTGATTCCCCAGGTGGACGCTCAGGTGATTCCCAGGTGCACGGTCAGGTGATTCTCAGGCTGTGAAGGCCTTCTGCTGTGCTCCCAGGAACACCTTGTTCTTCTTGCACCATGCTTATTGCCGTGTTCTTCTTTCTGCATAGTTCTCCATACTTATTTTGAAGGTTCCTCGCCGTGTTTTTACCCCACCCTTCCTTTGTACCACCTTTTCTGGCATCGCACCCCCCGATCGCATCACACGGTGCCATGGCATGGCATGGCATGGCATGGCATGGCATGGCATGGCATGGCATGGGGACACAGAGGACGGCATGGCGAGTGAGAGCAACACCATCGTCTTCAAGCTCGACTACAAGTGCACACGCAACCCGCCTGCTGACGGCTCCAGACACGGTACGGTGGCGCGCTGCCATGCCCTGCCTTCCCCTGCACACACAGCATGCACGGTATGCCATGCTCTGCCTGCCCCTTCCTTGCGGCTTCCTGTACTGGCTGGCATTGCAAGAGTCTCAGCTTCCTCCCCTTCCACCTCGCTCCATCCATCCATTGCTTGTCTTATCTCCCTTCTCCCTTCCTTACATCCTCCTCCCCTCTATCGCATTGCAAAGATGGTGCAGTCGAGGAGGCATGTGGTGCAGCAGCCTCGGCCTACATGGCTCAGCGCCCTTTACTGCTCCGTGCACGGCGCAGTAAAGGCCGCAGTTGGCGCAGTCACTGCTCCCTCACTCCCTCACTTCTCCCTCTGCAACCTCCTCCTGTGCAACCTCCTCCTGTGCAACCCCAGGCACGGTGCAGTAGAGGCATCTGGTGTGGCATCCCCACGGCAGCACCTATCCGACTTCCCTTGCTTGCCCAATCACCCTTTGTTCCCCTCCCCCCTTCCCCTCCTCCGCTCCACTCCACCTACCCCACCACATGCAGGCACGGTGCAGTCAAAGCATCTGGTGTGGCAGCCCAACGGCAGCACGTACCCGCCCGACCGCCCCACCAAGTTCACCTCCTTTGGTCGCCCGCAGAGCGAGCTGCATGACTTCGCCACTCGCCCCCCCGCCCCCACCTACCCCGACATCACCCTTGCCAGGCTGCGACCCGGGCAGGTGTGTGGGACAGTGTGCGGTGTGTACGGCAGGTGTGTGGGACAGTTTGCGGTGTGTACGGCAGGTGTGTGGGACAGTTTGCGGTGTGTAATGCAGGTTTGTGGTAGTGATTGATAGTGCAGAGCAGTGCATGCAACAGATGAACCGCGTGTAATGAGTCTGCTTGTGAGTCTGCTTGTGAGTCTGCTTGTGAGTCTGCTTGTGAGTCTGCTTGTGAGTCTGCTTGTGAGTCTGCTTGTGAGTCTGCTTGTGAGTCTGCTTGTGAGTCTGCTTGTGAGTCTGCTTGTGAGTCTGCTTGTGAGTCTGCTTGTGAGTCTGCTTGTGAGTCTGCTTGTGAGTCTGCTTGTGAGTGTGCTTGTGAGTGTGCTTGTGAGTTGACCTGCTTGTGAGTCTGCTTGTGAGTCTGCTTGTGAGTCTGCTTGTGAGTCTGCTTGTGAGTTGACCTGCTTGTGAGTTGACTCAAAAGCAGGTGGGTGGTAGTGATTGATAGTGCAGTGCAGTCAACAGGTATGTGAGCGTTCGTCCACCCATCAGAGCCAGGAAATTGATTATGGAAGCGAATGCAGTGAAGGGAATGGCAGTGGAGTGGGAAGAGGTAGGTAGCATTAAGTGTGGCAGATGAAGCCGTGTTATTTTTCACGTTCAACTTCTTCCCTTGTGTTTGCCAACTCGCCAGGCCATCGAATTGGAGGCGCATGCAGTGAAGGGCATCGGCCGCACGCACGCCAAGTGGTCACCTGTTGCTACTGCCTCCTACCGCATGCTGCCAGAGGTGAGTCCTACCGCATGCTGCCAGAGGTGAGTGCGTGTATCCTGTTTTACAGGGCAATAGGTGAGTCTACATGGGTGAGTCTACGTGCTCAACTCTACATGGGGCAAGAGTTGATGCACAAGCCATTCCCGCTTTCGCTCTGATTTGCCACCACTGGCCCCCCTTGTGCTCTCACGCACCCATGTGTGACTGTTGCCTGTGAGAAGTACAAGGCCGGCTGGCACGTTTTATACCATTGCGCCCTCATACTCAGGCTCGTCTCCCTCACCCTCGCTCACTCTCTCACCGTACACACGCACTTGTGGCTCTCTCACCGTACACACGCACTTGCGGCTCTCTCACCGTACACACGCACTTGCGGCTCTCTCACCGTACACACGCACTTGCGGCTCTCTCACCGTACACACGCACTTGCGGCTCTCTCACCGTACACACGCACTTGCGGCTCTCTCACCGTACACACGCACTTGCGGCTCTCTCACCGTACACACGCACTTGCGGCTCTCTCACCGTACACACGCACTTGCGGCTCTCTCACCGTACACACGCACTTGCGGCTCTCTCACCGTACACACGCACTTGCGGCTCTCTCACCGTACACACGCACTTGCGGCTCTCTCACCGTACACACGCACTTGCGGCTCTCTCACCGTACACACGCACTTGCGGCTCTCTCACCGTACACACGCACTTGCGGCTCTCTCACCGTACACACGCACTTGCGGCTCTCTCACCGTACACACGCACTTGCGGCTCTCTCACCGTACACACGCACTTGCGGCTCTCTCACCGTACACACGCACTTGCGGCTCTCTCACCGTACACACGCACTTGCGGCTCTCTCACCGTACACACGCACTTGCGGCTCTCTCACCTGACACACATGGTCTCCGGCAGTGGGCCATTGGTTGGAGGGCGGATGGCTGCGGCAGTGGGCCATTGGTTGGAGGGCGGATGGCTGCGGCAGTGGGCCATTGGAGGGCGGATGGCTGCGGCAGTGGGCCATTGGTTGGAGGGCGGATGGCTGCGGCAGTGGGCCATTGGAGGGCGGATGGCTGCGGCAGTGGGCCATTGGAGGGCGGATGGCTGCGGCAGTGGGCCATTGGAGGGCGGATGGCTGCGGCAGTGGGCCATTGGAGGGCGGATGGCTGCGGCAGTGGGCCATTGGAGGGCGGATGGCTGCGGCAGTGGGCCATTGGAGGGCGGATGGCTGCGGCAGTGGGCCATTGGTTGGAGGGCGGATGGCTGCGGCAGTGGGCCATTGGAGGGCGGATGGCTGCGGCAGTGGGCCATTGGAGGGCGGATGGCTGCGGCAGTGGGCCATTGGAGGGCGGATGGCTGCGGCAGTGGGCCATTGGAGGGCGGATGGCTGCGGCAGTGGGCCATTGGAGGGCGGATGGCTGCGGCAGTGGGCCATTGGTTGGAGGGCGGATGGCTGCGGCAGTGGGCCATTGGAGGGCGGATGGCTGCGGCAGTGGGCCATTGGTTGGAGGGCGGATGGCTGCGGCAGTGGGCCATTGGTTGGAGGGCGGATGGCTGCGGCAGTGGGCCATTGGTTGGAGGGCGGATGGCTGCGGCAGTGGGCCATTGGTTGGAGGGTGGATGGCTGCGGCAGTGGGCCATTGGAGGGCGGATGGCTGCGGCAGTGGGCCATTGGATGGAGGGCGGATGGGTGCGGCAGTGGGCCATTGGATGGAGGGCGGATGGCTGCGACAGTGGGCCATTGGATGGAGGGCGGATGGGTGCGGCTAAGTATGCCCCTTCTCAATCGCAATGCCTGCCTTTCATGTGCATCCCTTTCACCTCCCCTCCCCCTCCCAGGTGGTGTTTGTGTTGCGCAAAGCGGTGGAGGGGCAGATGGTACGAGATGCCTCTTGCACTCCACGCGTACTCTCACTCACGCGCCTCCCCCTGTCTTACTGTCCCACTCTACCCTCACCCCCTCCCCTCCCCTCTCCCTCCCCCGCCTCTTCCCCCTTCCCCATGGCAGGTGGTGTTCCGCAAGGCAGTGGAGGGGGAGATGGCAGAGCAGCTAGTGGCAAAGTGCCCCATGAACGTGTTTGATATCGAGGACATGGGCAATGGTGAGCATGGGGGGTGCATGTATGGATGGTGGTGGGTGGGTGGACAATGGATTAAATGCCCTAAGTGTCCCATGAACATGTGTGACATAGAAGACATGGGCAATGGTGAGGATGGGGTTTTTGTGTATGCATGATGTGATGGGGCAGTGTATGCATGATGCGATGGGGCACTGTATGCATGATGCGATGGGGTACTGTATGCATGTGTACATGGGGAACGGTATATATGGCAGACTATGCAAGGCAATCATGATGATTATGCTCCCCCTTGCCCCGCTCTATTGCCCCGGCCTATTGCCACTCATGCAGGCATCCAGAGGGCAACAGCCCCACGTGCACGCAACTGCACGGTGTGTCGGGAGTGCATCAGGGAGGAGGGGTGGGGCGACTACATTCAGCTCAGAAGAAAACGGGACCACTTCATTTGTGAGACCACCGTTGCTCTTCCCATGCATTGTTTCTGTCAATGTTGTCGTACTACAACTCTGTGTAGAGAGGGTGTTTTTGAGACGTCTCAAAAACACCCTTCCTGTCAATGTTGTCGTACTACAACTCTTTTTTCTGTGTCATATTTCTATCCCTTCAACCGACACTGTTTCTTCTCAACGCCTCTCTCTGACATGTCGTTTTTCCGTCCATCATGCCAACACATAGAGCCATTGAACAAAACAACCCGATGCGATTTTGTGCCGCCGCACGCCAAATTCAGCTATTTTGTTCAGCCCTCTCCCCGTCTCCTGTGTCCTGTCCATGCCTCAGCATGTCACACCATCCCTCACCATCCCTCACCATCCCTCACCATGCCTTACCATGTCAACCACCCCTTATCCTTCTCATGGTCCGCTCTTCCAGTGTGATTACTTGAGCACTACTGTTCCTCCCTCCACCTTTCTCCTCTCCCTCCTCTCCTCTCTCTCCCACCCCCCATATCCCCCCACTGCAACACCGCAGTCTCAGTAATGAGCATGGGAGCGCTGCCGCCCAACGTGCTATTCACAGACGCATTCAACCTGCTGGAGGGAATCCCAACCTTTCCTTTTCTCTCTTTTCTCCGTTTTCGTCCCCCCTCCCACTCCTCCCACCTTCCATTCACCACACACCACAGTCTCAGTGGAGAGCACGGGAGCACTGCCCCCCAACGTGCTCTTCACAGAGGCAGTCAAGCTGCTGGAGAGCAAGGCCAGGCGCCTTGCCACTGAGACCGACCGCCTCTGATCGCCACTGACAGTGAACGCCACTCATCTCATGCTCCTGGATTGTTTCTCCTGCTTCTGCTGCTGCTTCTGCTGGTTTCACTACTGCTACATCCACTCCACTGATAGGGCTGGACCGCTGCTGCATCCGATATGTCTGGGTTGCTGCTACATCTGATTCAATGGAGCTGCTGCATCAGCCCAAAGAGTTGGACGGATACCGGACATTGATTGTGGTTGGGATGAGATGATGTACCAGTTGTATGAAGAGGTTCTGTCACATGTTATGAGAACTTTTATATAGTTATCCTGCTGCTTTCGGACGAAGCTGTATCATTCTCAACTCTGAAACCTGTGGACCTTGGGGTTTTGAAGGGAAATAAATGTTTTATTGACAATATGACATCCCTTGCTGTTGTCAAACTTGCTCGCAGGCACCTGCGCAACCATGCCGAAGTACTGACTATCACGGAAGCGACCTTGGAAGTCGCGGTAGCACGTGCCTTCGCCGCTCAGGTCGGCGGAGTTAGCCTGAACGGCGTCGGCATGAGTGAGGGCGAAAGCGAGCAGGACGATTCCGACGCACAGCAGGCTGGCGACCTTGGAAACGCGAGCCATCGGGAAAGGAGCAGCGAGGAAACCTAAGTTGGTAAAAGCGAGCTTGAATATCAGACAGAGGATGCTTTGAGGGCAGTGGTCGATTTCGATGATGATCGGGTGAAGCAGCAGGAAATTTATATAGCTGCGTGAGTGGTAGAGATTAGGCAGTTGGTTAAGACTTGGGGGGGTTCAGCGCAAAGTGCGGCTTCGAGTCGCCATGCTGAGGAATGGCAATAATTTTGAGCTCTTCGCGAAACGACCTCGTGGCGACAGTAACGAATGAGGTAAAAGGTTTGGTTGGCGGGCGGCTCGACGATAGGTTTCGAGAAGGGACGTTGTTTCGCCTGGGTGAGGCAAGAGGCTCGACAATTATTGGAGCTTCGCAACATTCCTCATTGGCTGTAAGGCGGATGAAACAGATATGCCAGATTTCAGATTGCACGAAGTCCGAATTCTGGTAACTTTGCATATGCGACGAGTCACAATCACAACTGAATTTCACAGGTGGTAACACAAGAATTACAAATGCCCTCAGCAACTGGCAGTCCAACTTCGTTACCGTCGCCACGCGGTCAGCTTGTGGGGAGTTCGAAATTATTGCCATCCCGCAGCACTGGTCCATCCCACAGCACTCGCCCATTACTAGCAAGGGGAGGAAATCGACATGGCGTCTCGAAGCCGCACTTCGCGCTGAACCCACCAAGTCGCAGCTTCTGAATCTCTCCCACTCATGGAACTATATAAATCTCCTGCTTCTTCACCCTATTATCATCGAAATCAACCACTGCCCTATAAGCATCCGCTGTCTCATATTCAAGCTCGCTTTTTCCAACTTCGGTTTTCGACCTGCTCCTTTTTCCCGATGGCTCGCGTTTCCAAGGTCGCCAGTCTGCTGTGCGTCGGAATCGTCCTGCTCGCTTACGCCCTCACTCCTGCCAACGCCGTTCAGGCTAACTCCGCCGACCTGAGTGGCGAAGGCACGTGCTACCGCGACTTCCAAGGTCGCTTCCGCGACAGTCCTTATTTCGGCATGGTTGCGCAGGTTCCTGCGAGCAAGTTCGACAACAGCAAGGGCTGTGGAACGTGCTACGAAGTTTCCTGCACGGGCCGCGCATGCAAGGGCGGCTCCGTGAAAGTGCGAGCGATCGGGCAGGCCGGCGAGAACTTCAACCTCGATACTCCCGCGTGGAACAAACTCGTGGGCGGCCAGGGCGGGCAAGTGGAGGTCACATACGATCCCGTGGATTGCTCTAGCAGCGGTGGAATGGCGGTGAGACTCGTGCCCGATGCCAGCAAATACAACTTCGCCCTTCAGATTTTCGGAGCGGCGAGGCGCGGACGAGTGGAGAAGGTGGAGATATCCAAGGACGGGAAAGAGTGGAAGAGCATGACGAACAACGGATGGGGCGCGACGTGGGTGCTGAATCCCGCCACGGGCGTCGTGGATGCGGGGCGCGCGGTGAGCGTGCGCGTGTCGGGCAGCGGGAAGCAGGTGGTGCTGGGCGGCGTGATCCCGAGCCAGTGGAGCGCTGGGCAGATCTACAAGAGCAGCAAAAACTTCTAGATGTCGATTTCTGCTGCTAGTATTGGAACGCGCTGTGATGAGATGGTGCTGGGCGGCGTGATTCTGAGCAAGTGGCGTGGCGGGGAGATCTACGAGAGCAGCAAAGAACTTTTAGACGTTTGCCGTGAGATGGGGAGCGAACAGGGTGGGATATTTGCTGCTAACGGGATGCGCTGTATCAAGGTGGTGTGCGCGTGAGAGTGCGCGCTAATAAAGCAGCTACCGTGGCATGATGGTGCGTGGTAGTAAGGCAGTGAATACAAGCTAGCAGTGCAAGTGCTACAGCTGCATGCTTTCTGTTTTCTTGCACTGTTTTCAAGCTATCAATAAGTGGTTACTGCACTGCACAATAATTGCCATAGCGTTTCATTAATGCGCTGCATGCAATGCACCATAATAGAGTGTACACACATGCAGATTATATACATTTCAGGCACAAAGTAAAGAAGCAATGGAGCAGTCTGAAGCTACCTGCCTGCCTGTTCCCTGCTCTGCTCTGTCCATCCACGGTGGACATCCTGGCAAGCCACTGCAACCCCAGCAAGCCACTGCAACCTGGGTCATCCTGGCAGTCTGTCTCGAAGGGCGACTCACACCACCCTCCCTGCCCTGATGCTGCCTTGCGCTTCTCCCAACGTCTTCCTGCTGCTGTAGGACAGCCAAAGCCTCATCTCCACGCCTCATTTGCAGCAGCCTTCACTGCCGCTCTTGGCTTGGGAATGAGAGACGGAAGCAGCCTTAAAGCCGCAGTAGGCACTCGGGTTACCACCTTAGGGTTTGTCACTGACACGTATTGCGTTACAGCTGCAACCTCCACAGCAGACACGAATGATGGGATTCGATAATCGCTGCTGCAGTTGCTGCTGGCAACGCCAATGGTGCTGTCCCTGTTAGAGCCGCCACTGCTGCAGGTGAAGCCATCACTTGAATCGCTGCTGCAGTTGCTGCTGGCAACGCTCATAGTGCTATCCCTGTTAGAGCTGCCACTACTGCTGCTCAAGACGCCAATCGCTGCTGCTGCAGGTGGTGCTGGCAATGCTCATGGTGCTACCCCTGTTAGAGCTCTACTGCTGCAGCTCAAGTCATCAGTTGAATCGCTGCTGCTGCTGCTGCAGGTGGTGCTGGCGACGCTGACGCAACCCAGGCTGCAGGGCAAGTTAGCAATCGGCTTCCGGGAAGGAACCGAATCACTGATGCTGCAGGCGGTGGTAACAGCGCTGACGCTGCTGCTCTCGTCGGACCTCTCACAACCCATGGCTCTGCTCGTCGTAGCGAAAAGGAAAAGAGCATGTTTTCTGACAAGGTTGTTCACAACGCTGTCATGACCGTTGAAAGATGATGATGACGCTCCGTGCTTGGACAGCACCGCTCTGATTGCTTCCAGCAGCTGGAGTGACAGGTTGAAAGATGATCATGACAGCTGGAGTTCACAACGTTGTTCACCGGAGCGTCGCGTCGGTGCCATTGCTGGAGCCGCTGATCTGCTTGACCTCCTTCTTCTCGCACTCATTTTGCGAGAGCTCGTCCTTTACGGTTGCAGACGGAGTTGAGCAGGTCAGCGGCTGGTGAAGTCGCGTCCGCCTCACTGCAGCGCGGGATTTCCAGAAACTCAGCGCGTCGGCGAACGATGGATTCTCAGCAGATGCGGTGTTGCTCACGAGGGTGGCTGCGGTGGTGTTGTCGAAGCTTGGATGAAGCACGGAATTATTGGAAAGATTGGAGCACTGGAGACTGGAGCTTGTAGCAAAATCTGAAAGCGAACTTGTGGAATCAAAGACTGAATTGCTGGCAACTCGACTTTGTAGGTTACGAGCCGAGAGGACGCGAGAGAGAGAGAAAGGAGGCATTAGGGTTGGCTGTCAGCAGAAGGAAGCCCCGTAAAATCCTCGCCTCCCGAGTTATGAGCGGCTCCGCTAGTCGAAATCCGCGCTGCATGCTGCCCGGACTAAACTTCGACCGTGGTGATTATTCTGAAGCAAATCTCCATCGCGAAATTCCGAGTTTGCACAAAATGTACACGGTAGCTTTTCCTGCGGGAAACCTTCGGAAAAGCTTCGGAAAACCTTCGGAAAAGCTTCGGCGCGCACATTTACAGCTGAGTGGCCAAAGTGACATTGCAGCAACAACACTGAAGTGTCTCCAACGCTTCTTTGCAGTTACAATTGTGACTTCAATTTATCAAGTTCACCAGTGAACGCGGCCATATCCCACTTCCATATCAAAACAATTTTACTACTCCATGTTTAGGGCCACACTTAGGGCCATCTAGTTATTCATGTCGCAATGCGTTCAAATCCATTAGTCGATGAGTGCAAACCTATTGATTAGCCTGACTCTAGGATTAGTAAAGGACTTGCACACGTGGACAATACGCTCGATCGATGCAACTTCAATGATCCCGTTGCGCCGACGAGGCTCCAGCACGTCGCGCGCTTTACTACGCGTTGCGCTCATCATGCCACTACCAACTAAAATCAGTAACATTAGGCGGACGTTAGGGTTTTGTAAGTGTCCGTCCTACGGGAATCGAGGAACGGGCTGCTGGGACGATTGGAAGCGGTGTGGAGTGGTTTGTGGAGTGTTTGCACGCTTTCATGGTCAACTGGGTGTACCGAGCACAAACTGCAAAATTAGTTCGCGCTTTCTTCAGATTGTGCCATATCGGGGAGGTGAACATTATACTCGCTCTCGGATTGAGCGTGGAAATCCCTATATCCCCAACGTGAACAATCTCGTTACGTACACAATGATAGACGATGTGCGTATTATTTGACAAATACAACGGTTATTGAGATCAATACAACCATCAGTTACTACATCCCATACTCAATATCCCCATGCACGCTAGACAGGGATGCCGTTGGGGAGTTGAAGCATATCTCCTCGCTGGCCGTGGAAGACATGGACGAGGAAGGCGCGTATGAATGCCTCCTAACCTTTTTCTCTGGTGTGCGCAACAGTCGGTCAACGAGGTCCGGGTTCCCCAAGCGCTTAAGAGTGACGACGACACTCGGAGCTACTCCCGTCGCGCTAGCAAGCCTTGTATACGCATCAGATGCCATACGCATGAGCCGGCGGCGAGTCCTGTCGTCCCATTTGACGCGGCCGACACTGCTTGAATGATCAATCCGACGGATGACCGGCTTAGGAACACGTTCGGCCGTATCCTCGTCCATGGTGTCATCCCAAGTTGCGTAGTCCAATGCTTCCATCACGCAGTCGGGGATGTCCAACTGGTCCAGCCTCCTTTGCAGGCCCGTGAGGCTAGCGACGAGCTGCTCCACAACCTCGACATGCAGGTCGCGGATGATCGCGTGAAGCCGAGGCAGCCACTCGTCCGGGAAGCAACCGGTGCGCCAAAACGCGAGGTGAATGTGAGATGTCGCCACCCCCCACAGTGCCTGGTATGTCCACTGCAACGTGTTCGCGGCCGATGGAAAGTTGCTGGTCCACACCCAAGCTGGAGGCACGCGCCTCATGAAGCGAGTCTGGTGGTCCACCCACATTGTGCGGAATTTGGACCTGAAGAATGTGACAATGCCTTGCACGACGGGGTTCCCCACGTCTGGTACAGTATCATGAAGCTGCACAATGCGAGTATGGGTTAGGTGGTGCACCATGAAGGGCCCACTCGGCTCTCGCTTGCCCTCTCCCCAAGTGAGCTTGTGCCTACGCGAGGACACAAGGACGACGATGTCACGGTCCTCTGCAAATTTCGCAGCGTTGAGGCCTAGCATGAACTGCGTGAAAAGCTGCACGTAACAACATAGAGTATCACAGAGACATATATTGAGCACCAACGTCTTGAGTCCATATATAAGAGACATTTTTGCATGTCATCTATAGTACATTTCACCATTACCTGGGGGGTTATGCGGCCGGACCGAGTACGGCGGATATATGCCCACTGGTCGCCGCTGACATCGTGGCCCAGCCTCAGTGGCTCGTGATCGGTGCTCACTACAATGAGCCTGAAGCGATGCGCGCCGTCTGCGGAATAGAGAAGGCCGATAGACAGCCTCTTCATATCATTCCCATTGCGCCCGACGAACGGATGCAGGTATGGCTGCAGAGCAGGTAGGAGAGAAACCTCTACAAATATGTAGACGTCGCTGGGAGGTGCGCCAAGGCGCGACAAGAGATCCTTTAGAGCGGCCATGGAAGTAAAGTGGCGTCTGCTACAAATGGCGGCATATGATATAGCTGGTAGGTTTGGCGGGTACAACGTCCAATGTACCTGCTAATTGACAATGAGTGAGTCTAGCGTGAGAAAAGCATCGGTGCCAGCTGGCCACTCCCTCTTTGCCCTGACAGGCGTGGATTGGCCACAGAAGCTACTGATTGCGCAATGACGTGGGTACACCTCATAGGCTACCACGGTTGTGCACTCTTGAAACCACATGTTTGTGCCCTGAAAGCTAATCTGTTAGTGACCTTTCAGTACCCTGTATAGTATATGCCCGGGTCAGTTGGGGTTCCGAGATATTGTGCGCATGAATGCGTACGTCGGTACACTGTTACATTGCCTGGTATAGTTCTACTATTTAGGAACTTTCACGCCGCATCGCCCTAAACATCAATCTACATCATTTAATTTGGATGCTCCACTCATCGTCGATACGTTCAGTGTTCGACAATAATTCAATGGTGTAACTGAAACGAAGTCGAAATAAATCCATCCGCGTCAAGGTGAGTGACCGAAATGTTACATCGTTGTTAATCGCATTTGGTTATGTTCATAACGGGACATATGTCGTCCCGATAAGGGCTGCACAATTGAGTGTATAAAGGTTCCGCATAGTCTCGGCTGTGCATGCTGACGAGGGTACAGTAATCTCGGCTCAATTGCACTGTGACAAGTGTCAAATATGGCTGGAACCCGCTGCCAATCACGAACCGCCATGGTGGTATCCACATTCTAGAATCGCGCTCTGTCCCTGGGTCTCCGTCGTCTGAGCAAATCAGATATTTGTACCCGAAGGTGCCTGGTGGAGTGTATA